AAAAGCACTTGTTGCAGACTCATTGATGTTGTTGTCTAAGCCAACAACATTACCAACTTTATAATCAAAATAAGGTCTTAGGTGAATTTCAAGTAAAGATACTGTAATGTCTTTTTCCTCTAGTAACTTAAACTTATTTTTAATATACATGAGAAAATTGTTATATTCCTCAACTATAGGATTCATATAGATTGATCAGGTTAGTCTTCTGATGGTTGAATAATTAGGCAAAATTATATTTTTGGTGTGTCTTAACCTATATTTTCTAAAGGAGCTGTTATACAACAAAGAAGAAAAACATTTCTGCAGAATAACCAAATGTACTGGTCCATACAGATCAATTCAGAAGCAGAATGGAACCCAAGGATATAGAAATGGATAAAGAATCTGAAGAGGGGGAGTAATGAAACTGAACCATCTATGGATGTTAATGACCAGAAATCTGATGACTGTCTATATTTCTGAGATGAGGTATTATGTACATTATTTACATTATTCGAACTATTGTCTTCATCTTTGTCGGCATATTTATTACAACGTTTCAGCCATTGTACACTCCAGCCTTCTTCAGGTGGTTGGAATGTTGAACTGAACACTTTATTTCACTCACTGGGGTAGACTGTTCTAGTTCCACGTGCCATGTTTGATGCATATTACTTAAGATATTAAAAGTAAACAGTTTTTTTTACTGGAGTATACTTAAGATATTACTCGTTGATATTATATCTGTTATATTTAAATAAAAATTATAGTTAAATTTTTTTTCTCATATTGTCTTTTTTAAATATTTCATTTTTTTTTTTTTACTTGCTACAGAACATGATCATTTTCATTCATGAAGTGTTATGTAGGGGTACAGAAGGCACTTATCTCCCTTTGTTGGAAGATTAATCACATGGTCACATGACAACCACTTTATGATGTCACTCGATACAGTGACCCAAAGTGGCAGTCATTTTTCAGTTTGATAGGGCTACTTTCTTTTAGCCTGGGCCCTTTAAGGGATAAACTAATTGCAAGGGAAGAAACTGTCCCAACTTCTCAATGAGGAAACCCTAGAAGACAGCAAACCATCACAATTCTGACCCCGTCTGCAGCACTTAGCCAGAAAAAGTACAGACAACAGCTTAGTGCAACATATTTTCCTCCAGTGCCTGCCTGCTATTTTTCATATGGTCTTAGCCTTGGTAGGAAGAGATATACCCATAGAGATCACCAATAACATAACGGTTGTAATTTCCACCTACATGATATCAATAGCTGGCATCCAGAATTTGGAGTTAGACCACTTAGATAAAGTTTTGGAAGCACAAAAGATGCTAGAAACAAAAATAGATCAATTAACCAGAAGAATGGATAAACTGACACAACCATGTGCTACAAGTAGAAATTGCTTCTCCCATTGTTCAATGGAAAGGAGTAAGGACCCTCTGTGACAGTTACACAGGAAATTTGGGGATAAAGCTTATCAGTGCAAGTCACCCTGCTTGTTCAAGTCCAACCAGGGAAAAGATTAAGCTGGCAACCCAGTGTGATAGCATAGCAAAAGTCTGTCACTTATTATTTGTGTCTGACCGTTTTCTTGTGGACAGTGGCACACAAATTTCAATAATACCTGCTAATGAAGAGAACAGATTAAAGGGGCCTCATAAACTTACTCCTCAGACTGTCAACAAGTCACTTATCCAGACTTATGGCCATAGGTGACTCACATTGAAAGCCTGAGAGAATTTTTTTTTTATTATAGTGGATGTAGAGAAAGTGGGTGCTGATTTTTTGCATAAATATGTTCTCCTTAATATCAATAGGTGTTGCTGATAAATCCTGAGACTTATATTAAATCACTAGCATCTATTCACAATACTATCCCGCTATGTCTCATTATGGCAAACACTGAGGACAACCCTGAATTTAGCAAACTTTTTAAAAAGTTTGAGGATATCACAAAGCCATCCTTCCATAGGGAAACATTACCCCACACAGTTATACATCATAATGCACCCCCCACCCCAGTTCACAGCTACCCCTTGAAAAATTGAGGACAGTAAAAGCAAAATTTAGCCAAATGCTAGAATTAGGAATAATACATCCGTGAAAAAGTAGCTGGGCTTTGCCATTACACCTTGTACCTAAGAGTAGTGGAAATTAGTGTGTGTGTGGTGATTACAGGGCACTAAATGTTGTTACAAAACCAGATCATTACCCTATCACCCATATGCACAATATAACAGCCATTGTGCTAAGGAAAAAGATTTACCATCAAATCCCAGTCGAGACTAAGCATATTCTGAAGACTGCATTAACAACTCCTTTCAGGTTGTTTAAGTTCTTACATGTCCTATTCAGTTTAAGGAATGCAGCACAGTCATTCCAGAGATTTATTGATCATGTATTGCATGGCCTACATTTTACCTGTGTTTTCTATTGATGATGTATTTTATATCCAGTTTCTCTATGGAGGAAAATATACAGCAATTACAGCTCGTGTTTGAGCAATTTGATAAATTTGGAGTCGTTGTGAAATGTGAATTTGGAAAATCGGAAGTGATTTTCTTAGGCCACCACATCAACTCTGCTGGAACTTCCCTTTCCCCATCTAAAGTGGAAACTATTTCATAATTCCCTGCATCTGATAGCAGGAGAAAATTGTGTCAATTTTTAGGGATAGTAAATTTTTCCTATCAATTTCTGTCCAACTGTGCACAGACAGTCAAACCTTTGACAGATATTTTCACAAATGTCAAAAATTGTGACATAGCTCTGGCAGCATTTCACAAAATTAAATCAGTATTGTCCCATGCAGTGAAATTATCTCATATTGTTTCAGGCAATGAGTTGTGTTTGACGGTCAATGCCTCTTCTGTTGGTGTAGGTGCTGTATTGCAGGAGAAAATTGATGACCTTTAGAAAACTGTCACCAACAGAAGTCAGGTACTGTACATTTGGACAGGAGCTCTTGGCAACTTATGCAGTGGTTTGCTATTTTAGATATTTGTTGGAAGGGGGAACTTTCCACATACTGACAAACCACAAACCCTTACTTGGGGTGTTCCAGTCAACATCAGACAAATATGCACCATGTGAAACCAGACATCTGGATTATCTGATGCAATTTACATCATATGTTTTGTCAAAGGAACCAAAAGCATTCTTGCAGACACCATGTCCCATGGCATTAATGCTTTCCTGCTAGATCCATGCAAGGAATACCAGTCAATGGGTGAAGAACAATCAAAGGACCAACATCTTCAAAAATGTAATCAGAACAACTCAACATCTTTAAAATTTTCAAAGATATGGTTTCCTAACACTGATTTCAAGATTGTGTGTGACATCAGCACAGGATGATTATGCCCCTTCATTCCAGAAACATTATGGCAGACAGTCTTCTTCAATCTGCATAACTTATCTCATCCTGGCGCTAATGCTTCAATCAAGCTAGTCACAGATTTGTGTGACCTCGAATGAAGTCTAATAGTCAATTATGGTCATAAACCTGCGTACCATGTCAAAACGCGTCCCATACCCTTCTTCAAGGGGCATACTTATTTGTTGACACATGTTGATCATTTCTCTTGCTGATGTGAAGCTTTTCCCATGTCAGACATTACAGCAGAAACTACAGCAAAGACTTTTATATCTAGATGGGTAGTCCATCACAGTGTTCTGGATGTCATCCCCACAGACAGGGGTTGACAACTTAAGTCTGACCTATTCAAACAGTTGGTGAAACTTTTAGGGGCAAGAGAATTAGGACTACTGTGTATCATCAAGAGATCAACAGTTTGGTGGGAAGGTTTCACTAAACATTAAAATCAGCCCTGAAAACATTGACAGACTCATCAAAATGGCTGGAACATCTACCATTAGTTCTTGTTGGACTATGTACAGGTGTAAAAGCTGAAATGCAATGTTCACCTGCTAAAATGGTGTATGGCACACTTCGATCATCCACTGCTCTGAGATCAAGAACATAATGTGGGTAGAGACAGTATGGATCAAAGCAGCCAGTGAGCAACAGTCAGCTTAGACCAGTGCAGAATTATCTGTGGTTAAAGCATTATCCTCAGTCAAGACTACTAAATGTGGTCAAACTACCGGTTATAGTCGGCAGCAATATTATTTGGTACCAGTGACTAAGGATGTGATCTTGTTGCAAGAAGGTGTTACAATATTAAATAATGTTTTCAGTTCTGAGTTTAGATGTTTTCCTTTCTGTAATTTTAAGTTACTTTATTTAACAAGTAGCTTTTGCAATACTTGTCCTCCTTTACATTTGGTTGGAAGCATAGGAAACATCCCCATAGTTATTTAACACCACCAATTAGTTGGTATTGTTACTGTTAAAATAGACTAAAATTAATTTCTTAATATTTTGAATAAAGTAATTCCTGTTTAGATTGGAATTGAAAATAAATTCATCAGTTAATGATGAAAAGTAATTTAACTTTTGATCTTTTTTAAGTTGATTTATAATAATAAAAAACTAGTTTATATTCATAAGAATTATCACTTATGTCCGTAAACACTTTATAAAACAGGTTTTATATACAGAAAACGTCTTCAAATCCACACATGAAAATCATGTTTAGACCAAAACACTTTCATATAACTTGAAACATTTTCTTGCATTTTTTAAATGCATGCTAAGAAAAACGAGCATCTATTGTTAGTTATTTCCTCACTATGTACTCCATACAATTAATTTCCATTATGTTCATTTGAAGTAAATGGTATGATTTCAAATTTAAAACAGTGTGCACTTGAGAATTTGCATCAATAAAATTCTCTCAAAAAATGTATTTTTACAATGCATTTTAAATGCTTCAATAAATCATTTTTTATCTATTGGTAATTTATAACTACCACAGAATTTTATATCACTAACCTGAGGAATACAGAAATTACCTACTAAAACAATAGATTAAAAATAAAATAAAGATTTATATGAAGACACTTTCTGGTCAATATGTAATCTAAGTTTCTTTATTGTGAAATGGTCACAGTTTTTGGTAGTATCTGTATTCCACTGTATTTCCCAGGCATGGACTGATGAAAAAAAGATAACCATCTTTGACCAAAGAGAAGAAAGATGTCCAGCTTTCCCTGTTAGGTATAAGTTCTTTTCCTTCAGCTGAGTGTACAATTTTTTTGTATAAAATTCCTACAACAGAAAACATGTAAAAATTAACTTTAATGACAAAAAGTTATATTTAGGTTTACTTTAATTATATTTATGCATCAAGGAATTTTAATGGAATTAATATTTTCATGTTAACAAACACAGATGGTATGGAAAAGTGATTGCTTAACTTAGTGGAATTTAATCTTTTATCTTTTTTTTTTTTTTATTTACACACATAACTGAGTCCTTTCTCTCTCTCATATACATCTTATTCTAAAATCTTTATAACCTTGTCATTAGTTTTAAGATAAGCAGTACAACAGATTTCCAAGCTTTGTTTGGACAAGTTAACTCTTCTTGTATTCATGTTGTTACTACAAACTTTTAGCTGATCCATTTGACAGCCTCTTCAGGTGTATGATTCATAAATAAAGTGTTTTTTTTTTTGCAGAAAAATATGTACCAGGAAAAACACAAGGGATTGGAAGGACTTCTTAAAATTCTGCAATAAATTGCAGCCTTCCTTTTCTACAATACTATGTTCTTTTATAAAACATAGATTACACTAAATATTTTTATCTAATTTCTTGATAGAATTTGTATGTTTGTAGCAATAAAAACTTTGCATTTCATATTTACACATATTCTTAAGGCAATAGTGCTTTTATATTGATAATTAATATATCTTGCCTTTAAAATATCATCAAACATAAAGTTTTGGTGTGCACCTTTAAATCTATTAGGACCTTGAATAAGTTCTCACTCCAACAGACAGCATCCCTAGAACTGCATGCATGTAATTTCAGATAAGGATGTATAAACAACCTTGAAATTCAGTGTTTGTCATTTTGCTGAAGTGTAAACAACTTTGTTTTCATAGCGTTAAACATGTTGGGTTTCATGCCAAAGAAAGTGTATTTGTGCGGAATCTTACTGCACTACTTTATTCAAAAGAAATCTGCACACAGAATTCTTGTTGAGACTTATAGAGACCATGCTCTGTCGGAAACAACATGCAGAGATTGGTTTAGATACTTCAAAAATAATGATTTTGATGTTGAAGATAAAGAATACTCTGATGCACCGATAAAGTTGAAGATGAAGAATTGGAAGCATTACTTCATGAAGACTCATGTCAGGTGCAAGCTGAACTTGCAGAATCATTATGAGTTGATCAGATAAGTTTCAAAACGTTTGAAAGAATTTGGAATGATTCAAAAACAATGACATTGAAGCTGAGAGACGTCGAACAGTCGACGGCAGAAAAGGAAAGGCTTTTTGCATCATATCAGGACTAGCAATGAAAAGCGGATATACTATGATAACCCTAAGCGTAGAAGATTGTGGGGTAAGCCCGGCCATGCATCAACATCAACAGCAAAGCCAAATATCCATAGTTGGAAGCTTCCACTTTGCATTTGGTGGGATCAGCTGAGTGTAGTTTATTATGAGCTGAAACCGTCATGAGAGATCGCTATCAACTACAATTGATACGTTTGAGCCAAGCATTGAAGAAAAAAACAGTTGCTATATGAGCAGAGATACAACAAAGTGATTTTGCAACAGGACAACACTAGGTGACATGTTGCAAAATGAGTAAAAACCTACTTGGAAATGCTTAAATGGGAAGTCCTGCCCCACCTGCCATATACACCAAATATTGCCCTATCCAATTATCACTTGTTCTGATCGATGACACATGGCCTGGCTGAGCAGCACTTTCATTCTTATGAAGATGCCAAAAAATGTGTTTTGTAAATAAAACATTTCTTTTCATGAAAAATCAGTGAGAACTTATTCACGGTCCTAATCCATCATCAACAGATTTGGAATAAGACATTAAATTAAATATAGAAGTACAAATAAAATAGTGTTAATCCTAGAATCAAGTCAAGTTGTTTAACTTAATCAGATCTTGGTTTTGAATCAAATTCCAATTACTGCCCACTGATACTGAATTCTTTGTTTTGATGTAGCAATAAAATAGGAGACATCATTTATGCCTCATTTAAAATAATGCAAAATTACATTAACATCCATTTTGTCAGGAATAGAATAATTAAAAATTTTGATTTTAAAGTTATATTTATAAGTTTGCTTCTGAAAATATTTAATTTTTGAAAGAAAAATTTCTCAAATATTTTTAGTAAATTATCTGAAAGTGCTTACAATCATTCATAATGTTACTAAAACTGACCTAATGCAAAAAATAAATAAAAATAAAGTTGACTTACCCAATATCAGGTAGGAAAGCATGACTGATGTGAACACAATGACAATATAGGTACCTGGACTAAAAGTATTCATGACTGAATGACAACCATCTGGACATGCACAGATGGTTTGTAGATTAAGTTTCAAAGAATTATTTCTTTCTTCCTTGATGCTCAATTGATCAATTTTGTTGCATATCAGGTACACTGTTGTTATAAAAGATATATCTGTAAGAAGAAAAATCAGGCAAAGTTTATCAAACATATGCACAATGCTACTATTTAATAAGAAAGAATAGATTTGTGCCTGATTTCATTTTGCATAACACAAGATAGTGTTACAAACAAGTGCAAAGAAATGGCTAAAAATGATGAATAATGGGTAATTTTATTATTTTAAACACATCTTGAAATTTTCTTATTAAACATTAGATTTCTCAATTGTTAAAATATAATTTTTAAAGAACAGTTCAGAATTGTCAAGAAAAGATAATTTAAAATATTAAAAAACATTTAGTAATTAAATAAAATGAATCATTAAAAAAATTACCAACAACTTTTTTCACTACAAAAATGTCTACCAAATATTTTATTAAAAAAGTAATTAAAAGCAGATAAATTCATTTGTTTTTTATAATTTAATATTTATTAATAGTTTTGATGAATCATTAAACAATATATTCCCCTTCATTGTTTACAAACCTCCTACCAATAATCCACTGACCGTCAATGCCTTGACAATAGAAATCACTAGGTTTTGGCTCAAAAAATTCATAAAATCGCATTTTAAGCTCCACATTGAGCAGGACACCCCTTAAATTGTTAAAAAGCAACCAAAAAAGGTGATAATATGAAGGTGTAAAATCAAAAGAATATGGTGGGTGTGGCAGAACTTCTCAACTGAGCTCTTTCTTTGTATCCAAGAGTAGTGTAGGGACATTATATTTTTATTTCCTATGAAGTATGTTTTCATACTCATGTGAACACAAGTGACCCCACAGTAGCCTGTTGCCAAGTAAGTAAACTGGCAGTAGTGGAGGAGCACTGTATTTTGTTTCTCTTATTCAATTTGTGGCATCTTACCCGTCAAGTGAATATGGTGAGCAATAATAACATGAGAGCTTGTCATCTTCTGAGCCAATTCTCTCATGTCTGGCACAGTTCTTTAATCAGCACATGCAATTGTCATACACACAAGATGCTATTGGCTTACTGGTGGGTCACCGATGTCAACACCAGCAATCCTCTGGTGGCAGCCACCGGCAGTCCACTGGTGGGCCACTAGCGGTCTGCAAGTGGTAACATTGCCGAGACAAACACATCACAGGATGACCAAAGTTACTAAGAAGCAAAAAATTCTATGAAAATCTATTCTTCAAGGTCATTTCCAGAACATCAGAAAAACAATGAACAATTATATGTAACAAAAATGCTAAAATGGATGCATTTTTCTGAAATGAAAGCAAAAAACTGCTATCTCCTGATTGGTCAATTAATGCTAATATCATGTTTGTATCTACATCCACACGGTTAAAATTAATTTACCACCAAAAATCTATGTTTCGAGCCTATCACATGATATACAACATTATAAATACTTAGTGACATCTTCAACTCTTTCTCTTTCCTCTGTTTTTCTCAGAAACACAATAATGTAGTTCAGTGAAAAGCCTGCATCTGTCTCTTATGAGAAGACACTATGACACATGCATGCACACACATACGTACAAACATTGCAGATCTCTTATTTTATTCACTCCTTCAACTACAAGCAACAGAAATTTATCAACTTGTGAGCTTTGTGGAGTTAAACAATTCGCCAAACAAATGCATGCCATTAAAAATCTTTCAAGTTTCTAAGTTAGATTTCCTAACATAATCCCAAATTTCGAATTTACTCACTCACCAATAAACTACACTTCAATTTTAACATCTACGATTTTTATCAAGACAACAAGAATTCTACTCAAAGATTTAATGCACAATTTACTCAAAGTTATAAGCTTAAAGGTTATCTTTTAAACACAAAATTCAGCTTTTGATATCAACCAACATTTCATTTACCAATTTCGGTTACAACAAACTTTCCAAGAAGAACACACTTTCTTCAAAAGACTACTCATTTGTTGAATCAACTTTATTCACGTAATATTCATCTTTTATCTGTTTCATTAACAAAAAAAAAATATATATATTCAATATTCAACAGGTAAAGGGAGACAACTCTTACCTAATCTCCAATATCAAACTATGACAAATTTATGATGTAAAATATTATTTAATCTGAACTGATTAATTCTTTGAAAATCCTTTTACTAACAGGAACACTGAACAAACTCACTGTCCTAAAGAACATTCTCATGTTGTATATATTTGTTATATAAATGCTTTATTCTTGTTTTTCTAAAAAGGAATATTGTTTGTTTTATATTTTATTATATTGATGACCTTGTGCCATACCCAAAGTTAAATGTTTGTGGAGAAGTCAACACAAATAATACCTTCTGAGATATATATATATATATATATATATATATATATATATATATATTCCTAATAGCCTACTCCTCCAAAACAAATTTACCAAAAATCAGTGAAATTTTCAGCACATTCATTAATGAATGACTTGTATACTGAATAGGTTACTTTATTAGCAAACTTTGTGTGGGTACCCCTTTGTTATCACATCATATTCTTTGTTTTGTTATAAATAAAGCTACACTTATCAAAAAAAAAAAAAATGTCAAGTGTTGTTCTATTTTTAACAGAAAACCCTTTCTTTCTGTGTAGAAAAGCGGACAAATTAAAAAAAAAAATTAAATACAATAGAACCTTATTTCGTTTCTAGCATTTTTTCAGGGTCAGTGGTTAAGTTTAGTTTTTTTTTTTATTTTAATTTGTTTAGGTTAGGGTTTTTTATTTTAATTTAAAGAGAAAGCTTTACTATAAAAATAAAAAAAAACAGCAGTTGAAAGAAGACGAGTAAGATCAGTTAAGAGCAGATAAAAGGCCGTTGTCTTTGCTTTACAATAGTGCGCAGTAATTTAGACAAGTAACAGCAGTAAATAGGCCAAAATGTTATGATTGCGCGGTAATGGCGGAGGAATGACCGCGACTGAGTCCGAATTTTCTTGTCGATAGCTCCAAAACGGTAGGTTACATCATAATTTAATTGTTATTTCGAGTTCAGCATGTACATTTACACGGAAATATGACGATTTTGGAAAGTTTTAATAGATATTTAGTGAGGGGATTACAAAGCAAATTTACGGTTAATTTGCTGTGTAACACCCAAACTCAATTCGCATTAAAAAATTTCCATTCTAATCTGGCTTGATAAATTTGATAAACTCTACCGTTTTGGCGTTATCGACAGTGAAAGTTGGGATTCATTCGCGTCGCGGGCAGCCATTACTGGCGGTGTTTGTATACATTCGCTGCAGAATAGCTATCAGTGTAGCGTGTGTACGTAAATAGTTCTCGTGCGCAGTAATTGAGGCAAATTTAGACAACAAAGATCAGTTCCGAGCTTAGGTTTTCGTAGTCTTCCGCAGCGAATGTATGCAAACAAGGCGAATAATGGCTGCTGCCAACGACGCGATTGAATCCCAAATTTGACTGTCGATAACTCCAAAACGGTAGATTTTATCAAGCCAGATTCGAATGGGACATGTACAATTACACATAAATGGAAGTTTTCTGGAATTTATTAAGGCGAATTCAGTGCAGTTGTTACACAGCAAATTAACCAAATCTAAGTTTCATAAAGAAATAATTTTATTTATAAAATAAAAATATATTCCCTCCTTATTGGTTATAGAAGGTTAAAAATGATTATTTTAAAACATAACCTGTATTCTGTGTTTTCGTATTTAATTAAGTTTTTGAGGCAGTTATTTTGTAAAAAATATAGGGATTGGAGGAGGTAACTTCTATTTCTCTGAACTTGACAATTGGATTAACTTGCAATGTTCAAAAGTGTAAGTAATATTTTCCAAAATTCCTTTTCTTAATCTAATCTTACCAATTTTCTTGCTAAAAGAGATTTTTAAAGTGTCTTAAATTTTCTGTCCATTTTCAAATAAAATGGCGGGTCGATGATAAATTGACCGTAAAAACGTTTTTAAATATTTTAAAAGCTTGAAATGCATAAAATTCTTTTTCTTTTTATAGATTAGTCTTTTCTTTTATCAATATTTTAAATGCAATTTTAAGGTTTTATTTGCGCTCAAATTTGACAGTACCTAACTTACGAAATAAAAGATCTAAGTTTTGTTTATTTCAGCACATTTTTTTATACAGAAATTAAATTTTCAATCGATTTGATTGCTGAGGACGTATCTTTAAAAAGTGTTTAAATTACATATTTTTTTAAAAATTAAAGAAAGTGTTGAATGATTAATGTAATAATTTTAGACAATAAAAATTATAATTTAAAATTTTTGTATCTGATTGATTTGCCGTCGAACACTCAGTATTACAATCGGTGTTGCGTCGACCAGCAAGAGAAAAAAGTAAAACACTCTTGCGAATGCTCACTTCTGAGAGAAGGACGTAAACGAAACCTCATGACGACATACTGAAACTTTAGTTGGACTTCACTTAAATTATCACATACACACACACTGTTGTTTGTTGTTGTCGCTTTTTTATGGCAAATTCTCCTCCAAGCATTATGATGTTACTTACCTGGGGACACCCCCGGATTAAATGTTAATTTCACGGCAACAAAAATCGAATTTAATGAAAAATATGTCCCAAATTTTAAAATGGAGAGACTTACCAGTGGTTGGAAATTTACAGACAGCAGCGTTAGTACAGTAATTTTCAATCACGTCATCTGTATCAAATTTGTTTTTTTTTTTTCCCAGGAGTCCCGAAAAGACATCAGGCTTCAGGAGGAACGGAACGCAAATTTGTACACCTAGGGATATGTCCTCACTTTCACTAATTACAAATCTCGGGTTTCCATTGTAGAAAGCCACACCTTGTAAGTTGATAATGCCACTGCCATTGGTAAGGCGACATGCACACGAGTCCAGCTGTCGACATACGCCACTCTCTACAATATTGCTTGACACGGGATGAATGTATCCATTTAACAAACTCAAGAGAATGATGCTCACTGAAGGGCAGGTAAACAGTTGGTCAGTTATCGGTGAAAAAGAAACTGTCATTGATTTTGCATAGGGTAAGTGATCATAGGTCATCAAGGATGAAAAACAAAGTGAAAATAAAAACAATTCTCCTATCAAGGACCTCCTTGCTTTCACTTTCGATTTTAGCATCATTTGGTTGTTATTTCAGACTAGCAGTCAAAATCTGTACAGTTGAATTGTAATGTAGTGTAATGGAAATACCTTACTTGTTTCTATTAGGAATATTCTATTGTTACTGGAAGCGATAGAACTACGTTATACTTTCTACATCCAGCACATAAGCCTCCTGGTGACACTGAGAACTCGACGTTGATAATAATTTTTTTTTTTTTTTTACATCTGCTCTGATGCAATGGTGGCTGTATTATTGCTGTTTAGCAGTGAGCACGAAAATGCTACTGCATCACGGCTATTGTTTTTTAAAAGCAGTAAAATACAAAAAAAAATACTAACTTATTGAGTAAATTGCATATGAAAATAATATACATAAATTTTGAGTTTAATGAGGATGTTGCATTTATCACATGTATTTGAATTTTTGACAATGCTAAAATTTACATGTTGGTTTTTCCAATGAAAACATAAAATATAACAAGTTCAAAGGAAATAAATAAACTGAAGTTATTTCAAAAGTAAAAGACAAAAAATGTAAGCCAACTACAGCAGTGAATTAATGATTTTTTTTTTTTTTATTTTTTGTATTAGTACTTTATGAACTGAAGCTGATTTCCAGCAATCACTGTATCAATTCATTGCCATCCAAAGGTTTTCAGAGCTATTACAGAATCAAGGTGGTTCTGAAATTTGTTTGTGTCTTGTCAAAGCTGTAATCAAATTGTAGTAGCCAATAGGTGTCCATGTCTTATGTTGACAAAATAACAAACATGGGAAACTGAAATGATGTCCCATTCTGAACAAATGGTTCTTTTACTCATACTGTTCATAATACTTGGAATCAAAGTAATTACTTGCTGTCCACTTTGGTTTTGATTCTCAGTTCAAGCTTTGGCTTCTCTTGTGAGAAGCTTCTTGTTGCAAAAGGTTGAGAAATAGTGAGGAAACTGAGCTAATTAATTTTTTGTCATCCTGTGGGTGAACGAAAACCTCAAAAAAGTTACTGGGTTATAATTTTTTTTCTAATGAATCGAAGATTTGTTCTATACAGAAAATTTAGGTGCTAGTTTACTTTTTTATGTAACTTTTTTAAAAATAATTTTAAATATTTAAAATTAAATTTTAAAGCATTGGAATGGATAAACAAGTGAAAAAATTTTAATCACAAAAAATAAATTTTGCTGGTTGCTCCTTTTCACTCAGTATAAAACTGTTCAAGAAGGAAATTCTGGGTTGTGGTCACATGACTGGTTCCGTGTTTTAAGAAGAGATCAAAATATTTTTCATCGGCTTTTTAAAAATCAATAAAAAGGAGTACCTTTTGATTTGACATTAGGGTTGCCAGATGTTCTGTACATACTTTTCAGTAGTGAATAATCATACAAAATAAACCAGAATCAGCAATAAAACAAACTTGCAAATTGACCCATTTCTCATCTAAATCTGTCCATGTCTATGAGGAAAGCTTGAAGTCTATTGAACAGGCAATTCTTTGATCTCAGCTGCACAAGGCAATAAAATCTTCAGGAGAAAATGTGTTGAGTGCAATAATATAGCTAGAAGGCGAGCAGCAAATATTTTGCTTTTCTCAGCATTTCTCTCTTTGTCCTCCCACTCTTTTGTTACTTCTTTTTTTCTCACTAAACAAACAAGTACTGGTTTAATGCAACTGGACAGCAAACAGAAAAAATTCTGCTTTTCTCTCTTTGACCTCTCACTTTTGTGTTTTTCATTCATGCTCCCTTCTCAAAGGGAAATAAATGGAAAAGAAAATAATTCACTTAAATTTAACTTGTTTTTTTAAAGCAAAAATTGTTTAATTTTTACAAATATAAATTATATTGTTTCTTTACTAGTAATAAAAAAAATGAAGAAAATACAGAAAAAAACATGAATAATCTTTATTGTCATATGAATATAAATAGGTGAATATGACAATAAAGATGAAGGCAACAGTCCGAACAATGTAAATAGTTACAATACCTCATCTCAGAAATATAGACAGATAAAATGAGGATAGTAAAAAGTAGCAATAATTAATTATATATCACACAAAAATTGTTCTGGAAAAAAAAGTTTTTTCAACATATGAAATATTTACAAAATTTAGCCATCAAATCCAATTAGTTAAAATACACTTTAGTTTATTTCACTAGTTATTCTGACTAGAATCCACCTTGAAAAAATTAAGACCAATATCTTCCTATTTTTGAATAACTGTTTGGATCATATAACAGAAGCTATCACTTTTTGGAAAATATAAATTATCTTAAAAAATTTTAAGGAAAATATTAAAATATGATAATATAAGTATTAAAAAGCTCATTCATCTGTGTGTAAAATTCTTAAGCTTAACACAAAAATTCTGTGAGGTTTCTTATATATAATATAATTGTGTATAATTGTAATATTGATTTATATAAAAGTTTGTTATTTGTTATTATGTTGTTCAAAATTAATTAAACCCTTTAACAAATATTTTCATAAACCCAATAATTTAAATAAAAGATAGGGAAGTAAAATATCAAAAAAAAAAAAACACAAAAAAAACTGAATGTATTGCAGTTATTTACCAACGGATGTTTTGCTGCAAGAATAAAATGGCAAAAAATATTACCAATCTTTGTTTTGAATCAAAAATTTAGGTAGATGGACCTTAATTGAGTAAGAATTTTCACACTAAAATTTGTTCACATCATTTTCACAGTAGAAGAAAAATTCAAAGAAAGGGCATCTCCACAAAAATTAACAGGTCTACAAAAAACTTTTCGATACATTCCAAAATTAAAAAAATTGTCAGCACAAACAAAGTTAGTAATTTTTTTCATAGTATTTCTTTTCTTCTCAAAACTTCTATCATAAAATATACTTTTGTGAATTCTTTTTATATCAGATAAACCAATTACAAAAAAAACTTTTTATGACCAAAAAAGAAAACTCATATTTTCAGTTAATTCCCTTAATTATAAATCATACTTATTATAAAACCCAGGTTGTGTGTGTGTGTGTGTCTGTTCGTTTATATATTGGATCAGATTTCCTACATTTTTCAACCGATTTCAACAAAACTTCACAGGACTACATAAAATTACCTTGCAGTGGTTCAGACAGTGCCAAAAATTGGAAAAACATAATTGTTTTTGCACGAAATCAATTTGAAAACGCGATTAAAACATCATTGTCGCCAGAATGAAAGGGGGACAACTCATATCGAGTTATACTTATAAAAAGGTTGTTGTGTGTGTGTGTTTATTTATATATGGGATCGGATTTCCTACATTTTTCAACCGATTTCAACAAAACTTTTTTTTTTTTTTTTTTTGGTAGGTGTTTCTTATTGTCTTGCACACTTTTTTCTTTATTTTTACATTCAGAATGCTTTAAAAATTCCATTTACAAGACAATTGTTTATAATAAAATTTTATTCAATAGGTAGACTCATAATGATTGAAAAAAATGTTTTTGTTTGAGTTTGACCAATTCGTAAAAAAAGAAAAAAAACTAATGAAGACATGCGTGTCCGTCAACCTTAAACAATAGTCTTTCTCAATTTTATTTTTCAGTCTTTATGATTGTTGATACTTGATCTATCTCTTACTGTTACATCCCCGGGCAACGCCGGGCTCTACTGCTAGTCAATTTATAAAGCTTTACATACATATGGATGAAAAGCTTTATATGCATTTGGATTAAAAGACAGAGTATGTCTTAGGGAAATACATTTCATTGTAGGATATTATGCAGAAGTGAATTTGTATAAATTAGAGAAGAAAAGTTAGGTTAGTTGATTTTGAGGTTTCAGTTTTCAGTGGTAAAATTAATCCCTCTTTCTTTATTTTTTATTTTATTTTAATATAATTTTCAGTTCTCTTAATCCAGAATTGAATTAAATCTTATAGGACAAAAATCACAATGAATAATTTTAATGTTGGCCTTTCTACATTAATTACCATCAAGAACATTTTCATAAACTTTTAATATTTTAGTGTTTTTTGATTTATGGAATTTTTTTTTTTTTTGGTAAGTAATGGGGGTTAGTTTTTGTTTTTGAGAGTTCACTTAGGTCTAGGATTATTTCAGGTTGTTTGATGATCAAAAGAAGTATTCAATAGGATGGTATCATGTATGTGATTTTTTTAAAAATTTCAGTGATAGGTTCCATTTGAAAGAGGAAAGGCTTTATTGCATTTTATTTTTTGTTGAATAAATGCTTGTATTTTGAATTAAAGGTGCAATCATAAACATGATTAGGAGGAAATGAGTTTTAGATAACATTGTAACTCTAATTCTTCATGTTCTGCTTGCTTAGTGAGAAAAGAAGAAAATGCAGTGAATTAATTGCTTTTCTATTCTATTCTCTGTGATCAAATAGCATGAATGAAAAACAAGAGAGTGGGAGATCAAAGTGAGAAATGTAGAGAAAAACAGAATTTTGGTATATTTCTACCCAACAAAGTTGAAAAAACTATCCAAGTTGAATCTTCTAGCAGGGGGCTTAAAGCAGCACTTATAAAAGATGGTAAGCCAGTTCAGCTGATGTGAGTGTTGGATACAAAGGCATCCAGGACACTCACATTAGCTGAATAAAGACATTCAAATATTGCACAGGAGATGCTATAGCAGTAGTGTTTTGTATGCCAGAGATTCCACACATATTTGTATGGAAAATCATTCATGGTAAAGACTGATCACAAGTCCTAAGCCGCACATGGCTACAATGAATTTTCGAGGAGATACTGGTATATGACCTCACCATGACATACTGCACTGGGAAGGAGATGTTTGTGGCAGATGGTTTGTCAAAGCTACCAAAGAAAGAAAACTGCAACCCAGTAAATTTAGATGTAAGAATCCAGTTCATACAGGTCAGCACAGAGAAACAAGAAGAACTAAAAGAAGAATCC